TTTTTTTTTTTTTTTTTTTTTTTACACTAAACTGTTGCAGGTGTTGACAATAGGGGAGGAGTGTCAGTGCTGATTCTGCCCTGGGTTAGCATGGGGAGTTCTTACTTCTGCAGTGCAGAGGTGTTTACGGGCCCTCCAAGGAGCTGTAAAGAGATGCAAGCACTTGATTTGGGTAATTTTATTTTGAAACGTTCCCTTCTTGGCAGCAGAGTTCTGTCTGCTTTGTGGTTCCTAAAGTTCAGGCAGCCAAATTTGACCAAAAGGTGCAATAACCACAAAAATCTGATTTGCCTGCTGGGTCTGCATCTTCTAGAGAAACTATACCAAAGCTGTGTCCCAGAAGGCTTCCAGCTAATTTGTTTCTCATGTAGTAAAATACTAACCCCCTTATTCTGCCTTTTGAAAACTGAGAAATGGTACAATAGGAAAATGAGACTTGTCTCAGTTGAATAATACGTTTCAAAGATAGCTTTCAAAATTACCGTGTACTAACAGTCCATTAACTACCAAGCACTCTGCCTGAGTTTTGTTAAAGGATTTTAATTCAGAAATTGAGAGCCAGTTTAAATGCAGTTCACAAGAATAACAGAATAGACAGCATTTCAGGAACTAGTGCAAGAGAAAGTTAAATTCACTTGTGAACTATGAAAATCTTCCTAATTTACTGATTGTAAAGTACATACTTTGGTTCCAGTGGTTTTTACGATGCTGGATCAAGTAGCCTTGGCTCTCCAACCTGTAACTTTGCCCTTGAGTAAAGACAACTTGGCACTGGCATCCTTAGATGTAATGTTCCTCCCTAGAAACTAGGCTGTCCTGCAACTTGGCACTCATTTTTCAGTGATGTCACTTAGCACCATGCTGACTTTTTGTGTGATGTGTGTGCTTGTGCACAAGCTGCCTTTGTACCACACCCTGTAGTCGCTGCAGTGACACTTTTGGCTGTTCTCTGAAAAGTGAAAAAGCCATAAAGTTAACGAGAAATGTTTTACTACACTATTGAATGCTTTAGAAAAATAAAAATTAGGTTGTCTATTTGTTGCTGGTTTATACTGTGTAGCTTTAATGGAAAAGTTTTTCAGAAAATAGGTAGCTGAAAGGTAGATGAGGGCAGAGTCCAGGTAAAAGCTTGCAGTAGCTCTTTGGTTGCTGAAGAACATTTTGGAAAGGGAGAGTTTGTAATTTCTTAAAAACAGTGAATAATCTTATCTTATAGGAATGAGTCCAGTATCCCTGTGTCAAAAGTTTTTTTTCAAATTTTATTTTTGAAGCTTCTTCTCAGAGAAACTTCAGTAAGACCAGGGAGGCAGAAGCTCTCAATGATATTTCATAAGCATCAATTTGTTTCGAATTGCTTTAATTCATCTGAAAAGACTGCTCTGTGCCTTTTTTTAATGTACTGGGTTGTATCTTGCATATGGAGAGATTATTTTCTCATCTCCAGTGAAAACCCATGAACAGATGCAGACTGCAAATTTATTTGCTTGGAAAGAATCACATTTGGGCACTTGCAAGTCCATAAGCTATCAGTAACCTCTCACACTGACACTTTCCCCTTCTGTTGCCCTAACTGTCTAGCCTGATGTCCTGGAGTAATTCTTCAGACCTCAGTCTGTAATAGCACTTGCCAAAAACCCAAACCCTTGCACACTTGCAGTATTTTTATAGAAATTTATCCTGATTTGCCCATGCTTGCAGCCTGTATATTCTTCAGAGCCTAACAGCTGCAGGTTTTTTTACATGTGAAAAGCTTTTAAAAAAAATCTGAAGTGAGTAAAACACAGCTTGGGTTTAAAATAATGGCTAGCTTTTGGACTTCAGAC